TTTTTTTTTTTTTTTTAAAAAAACTCTCAATTTAATGGTGTTATGAGTTTTGTAAGCAAGCGATGACTCCCGACTACTCCATTTACCTTGGGAATGTAATAAGAAAGAGTCCAACAGGTGTTTCACCGAAAATAGATGACCGAACGACACCCCTTCACTGAACACCTCCTTGACTTGATGGCTACGTTTACAGAGCCTTCGACATGACTACGACAAGACAACCAGTGCTAAGACCAACGGTTACAGAATACATATATACGCGTATTTGGAGATCAATATCATCAGTCTATAAAGAATTCCATATTAATATTACAGGACTCTTCCTTGGTAAGATATGGAACTCCCTATGGCAACACCTTACCTCATCTCTGAAACCTCATACTCATGATGGCTATGCTTGTTTGATAAAACTATTAAGTCCCAAATTGAGAAAAATAAACCTTTCAGGCATCTATTTGATAGTTTACCCATCTTTGAGAGTCTTGTAGTGAAAAAACTCCTTTTTTATTTATTTCTTTTTTTTTTTTTTTTTGACTCCCTAAAATCATCTTTTCAATCACAAATTAAAAAATGTGATTGCTTAGTTCTGGAAAAGACTGTCTGTATGTAAAATAACATAAATAGAAGAGAGGATTTTTTTCCCAAAGTGATAGAAATTATTATAAATCAAAATGCACAAATGTGCAAAATACAAGCAGCTCCTAGTTGAATAAGAACAACCAGCAACTAAAAAAATGGGAGGACAGGTCAGAAGACCGCCTAGAATCCCGACTAGCAACGCTAGAATAAAAACATTCGCAATTAAACTAACTAACTACACGACTACCTAACACAAACAAAAACTAAGACAACTAACCCCAAGTGTGGGATCCCAATAAGTTCATACTCGGATTCACAAGGGCAAACCAAAAAAACACAGGACAACAACTGATGCCAACGGCCCAGAACAAAAGCATACAGGCAAAGTGTCCAGACCATAAACACAAAACTACTATAGAAAACAACTAACACAAAATCAAAAGAGAAAGGAGCCCTTCCACAGCAAATCAACGGACCAAACTAGCAGAGAACGGTCGATATCATAGCAAAATCCAAATCCAGGGAACCACTTCCGAAACTGGCACAAGGCCTATACAAAAAGCAGAACCCGAACACAAACTAAACTCCGAAAACCGACCCGCTACCAACCGGAGGAACAACAAAACCAGCCCCCACACCAACTCCAACCAAACTTGTCTAACACCACTAGTCGAGCTCGAGATCGAGCTCGAGATGACCCGATCCAACACCACTAGCCGAATGTAGAACGGTGAGTGTGGTTCAACCACTCGACATCGGCCTCCAGAGCAGCGCCCCACCCATAGCTACACAACTCCGCCCATCCAAACTACAAACCCGCCGGTGACCGAAGCTCGAAAATCCCGTCGGAAAACTGTAGTCCACCAATAGGATCCCCATCAACCCCAATCTCAACCCAACACAGCCAAAAGACGGAAACTTACCTCAAAGGCGGCCCCAGAAGCCGGAGGCGGTCGCAGTCAAAGATTCTGATATGGAGGTGCAAAGTCCCAAGCTCTGGCCGTCCCAACAAATTCGTCGCAACCGCCAGAGCTTCGACCCATCCACAGACCCACATCCCTCCCGACGCCACCGCTGACACAGAATCCGGCGACCAGCCCACAAGACTTCACCTGAAAAAAGCAAAATTGGCAGTAGGAGAGCCGCGTCAATCCATCAGCCTTCGGCAGCATCGGAGACGAGACGGCTTCCGGGATGGGCCGAGCAGTTGAGGACGACCGCAGGCCCGTGTCCGCCGCCGCTAAGGAAGGCCGAACGGTGGAGGATTAGAGAAACGACGCCGGCGTAGGTTTTTTGCGAACCGGAAAAAGAGGGAAAAGAAAAATCTCTTATCCTGCGAAGAGAGGATATTAAACCTGGAAAAAATCTATATCTATATCTATATAAAAAGAATTACCATTTACTAAAAATAGCAGCAAAAATTTAGGAAACATTTAATGCATATTATTTTTGGAAATTTTTAAATATATGGATTAATTGCTTCTATTTACACATTTTCAAATAAGATCAAATAACATATGATCAAATAATTACTTAATTAAATTTATTAATATATGCAGTAATTTCATTGATATTTAATATAATAAATTACAAGATTGATTTTCGTGATTCATGTTGATAATATTTTGTTCAAGACAAATATTGTTTTATTAATATTTGTAGTACTTACATTGATAGTCATTATAATAAATTACAAGA